AAACCGAGGAGGAAAGGAAAGATCGGAGTTTCATTAGCATAAACGATGGAGGAGAATTTCTGTGGCTTAAGCTTGGGGGAGTGACGTTGCAACTATTGATTGACTCTGGCTGTAAGAAGAATATTATCAATGAAAAGGCCTGGGTGTACATGAAGAACAATGGAGCAAAGGTTTGGAACCAGGAGAAGCACTGCACCGAAGTTTTTCTACCATATGGCAAGGAAGCAAAACCGTTGTCCGTTCTTGGCAAATTTGACGCAAATATCTCCGTAGACGATGGAGGAAAAACCATCGAACAGGTTGCGACATTCTACGTTGTGGTTGGAGGTCAGCAATGCTTACTGGGTCGTGCCACAGCCATGAGTCTGGGTGTTTTGGTGATTGGATTACCGAGTACACACGGAGTTAGTATGGTTGAGTACACACAAAAACACCCGTTTCCCAAGATAAAAGGCGTTCAAGTTGAGATTCCTATTGATAAGTCTGTCGTTCCGGTGTGTCAACATCCTCGCCGTCCTCCTATTGCTCTTTTATCAAAAATTGAAGAGAAACTGACGTCTTTGCTTATTAGTGATATTATCGAACCTGTTCAAGGTGGATGTCAGTGGGTTTCACCTTTGGTAACTGTGGTTAAAGATAATGGGGATCTTCGGCTATGCGTCGATATGCGACGAGCGAACGTTGCGATCTTGCGTGAGCGCCATATCATGTCAACAATTGAGGACTTTTTGCCACGGTTCACGTCAGCAAGATATTTTAGCCGGTTAGATATCAAGGAGGCTTTCCATCAAGTGGAGTTGAAGGAAAAGAGTCGTTACATAACAACCTTCATAACCCACATGGGTCTTTTCCAAAACAAGCGGCTGATGTACGGAACTGTTATTGCTCCAGAAATATTCCAACGAATCATGGAACAAATTTTGAGCAGCTGTAAGCAAACGGTAAATTTTATTGATGACATCCTTGTTTTCGGCAGCACCGAGGAAGAGCACGATGTGGAACTAAAATTAGTGTTATCGGTTTTGAACGAACATGGAATTCTCCTGAACCCGGAGAAATGTTTGTTTAAGGTGGACCGCTTAGACTTTCTCGTACACACAATTTCTTCAGATGGTATCAAACCCTCGAACAGTAAGGTTGAAGCGCTTCAATGCTTTCGTACACCAATCACCTTCAGAAGAAGTCCGAAGTTTCCTCGGATTAGTTACGTATGTCGGACGATGCCTTCCAAATCTAGCAACAATAACGGCTCCTCTTCGGGAATTGATCCGATCCGGCATTAAGTTCTCGTGGGGTAAAGACCAAGAGGAATCTTTCGTTAAATTTAAGGATATGATTGGTAACGTTCAGCAACTGTACTTTTTCGATAATACACTCCGAACAAGACTAATTGCGGATGCATCACCAGTGGCTCTTGGAGCTGTGTTGATTCAATTTGAAGGTCCAACGGATTGCCAGCCTCGTCCGATCGCCTACGCTAGCAAAAGTTTAACATCCACGGAGCGCAGATATTGCCACACCGAGAAAGAGGCGTTGGCCTTGGTTTGGTCGGTTGAGCGATTTTCAATATACCTGTACGGAAGAACATTTGAGCTGGAAACGGACCATAAACCATTGGAAGTGATTTTTCAACCAACTTCTCGGCCATGTGCTCGAATTGAAAGATGGGTGCTGCGTCTCCAATCCTTTTCTGTTGTAGTAAAGTACCGCAAAGGATCGTCCAACTTGGCTGATCCCTTGTCTCGTCGCGTTGAAAACCCGTCTTCCGAGACCTTTGACGCTGAGAGTAAATTCATGGTGTTGGCAGTTATGGAGTCCGCAGCAATTGACATTCAGGAGCTTGAAGATGCGACTAATACTGATGTAATCCTGGGCATTGTTAAGGAGTGTTTGCGTTCTGGATGCTGGGAAAAAAAGAAGTCAAACCGTTTTTACCGTTCAAGGATGAACTTGGGTTTGTTGGAAATTTGTTGGTCCGTGGGAACAAACTCATCGTGCCGAGTAAATTGAAGGCAAGGATGCTTGATATCGCCCATGAAGGACACCCGGGAGAGTCTATTATGAAACGTCGTCTTCGTGATCGTGTTTGGTGGCCGGGTATGGACAATGAGGCTGTGACTCGAGTGAAGACCTGTGATGGCTGTCGTTTGGTAGGATTACCTAGCAGACCCGAACCAATGAGTCGCCGTCCGCTACCATCTGTTCCATGGATCGACACCGCGATAGATTTCCTCGGCCCATTGCCTTGTGGTTCGTACCTGTTGGTAATTATCGACTATTATAGTCGTTATAAAGAAGTGAAAATAATGTCCAAAATAACAGCCAAAAAGACAATAAGCAGGCTTGACAGGATTTTCACTCGCTTGGGATATCCTCGGACTATAACGCTGGACAATGCCAAGCAGTTTGTCAGCACGGAGCTAGAGACATACAGCCAACTACATGAAATCACTTTGAATCATTCGACGCCGTATTGGCCACAAGAAAACGGCCTCGTCGAACGTCAAAACAGATCTCTCGTGAAACGACTTCAGATCAGCGCTGCGCTTGGTAGAGATTGGAAACAGGACTTGCATGATTACCTAATCATGTACTATATAACGCCCCACTCGACTACTGGTAAAACACCAACCGAGCTTATGTATGGACACACGATTCGTTCGAAGCTACCTACGATCGGAGACATCGAGACAGCCCCACAGAACACAGAATTCCGTAATCGAGACCAAGAATCGAAGGGAAAAGGGAAGGGGGCAGAAGATACCCGTCGTCGAGCTAGAAGATCTTCTATCGATTCGGGTGATACTGTTCTGATGCAGAATTTAACGCCAAGTAACAAGCTTTCCACGACCTTCAACCCAAAGCAGTATACAGTTATCTCACGATCAGGCCCTCGTGTAACAGTTGAAGACCCTCAGAACGGAAAATCTTATGACAGGAATGTTGCACATCTCAAAAAGGCTGTGGACCTTGAGCTGAAACCTTGGCTGAGCCAAATGTAGCATCCGATGACAACCATCAAGATCAGGCGCAGTTGCAGGCATCATCAGAAGAAGATTTATTTGGCTTTGAGTCAGAAGAAGTGACTGAAGCACCAAGACTGACCATATCAAGCCGACAGTGTAGATCAAAGAAGAAACCGGCCCGACTCAACGATTACTACATGTAACTTCTTAAATTTAAACAAAGGGAGATGTGGTGCCGAGTGCTGCTCTGTTTTATGGTTCCTAATAAAAAAAAGTTTAAGTGTAAAATGATTGATTAGTAAAGTACGGGCCTGGGTGAGTAAATAGCGGGCAGTGAAGGTACGCAAGGAGTGTAGTGAAAACGTCGAGAATAAACACTTTGTAAAGCGTATGTAAATTGAAGTCCCTTTATTATTTATCACAACATCTCGATTATTACAACCTCTGTTCTAGATTTAAGGCATCCCTCGTAATGTTTTTAGAATACTTTAGTTTCCTTTTCTGAAACAAAGGAGCACTTGTTGGCCGAAAATTGTGTCTCCGAAAAATTCGCTCTCGGAACACGAATCTCTGTTCCGTATGGACTGCTAGCAAAGCGGTGTTGTTTTATCATGATACGGAGATACTTTCCAACAACACTTGTCACAGAACCCCCATTCCCTCTTAGAGCGTAATATAATGACAAGACAATAGTTGTGACATGATGAATGTAACAAGCCGGCGCAGGTGGTGTAGTGGTAAGCGTGACTGCTTTCTAACACCCCAATGGGTCTGGGTTCAATCCCAGCCGAGGTCGGTGGGATTTTTCTGAGGCATAAAAATCTCTGGTCACGTCTTCCTTCGGAAGGGAAGTAAAGCCGTTGGTCCCGGCCCATGTGTGTTGAATGGGTGCGATATCCTACGCAGGTGTGGAAGCTGCCTTCCTGCACATTCGATTGCCGTCAATGGATGGCAATCGATGTCCGTCGGTGATTGGCACTAGATTGCGGAACAGAGACCGACGTTAAATAAAGGAAAGAATGATGAATTTATCATTCCGCGCATAATAGGGCTGTATATCATGCTCCTACGACCAACAAGGCCCAACTATTTTACATCCGGAATGTGCCGGAATTTTGATTTTCTTGCTTATTAAGCTTCCCAGTGAATGCAATTTCTATAATTTTTATATTATTTTGTCATAGCAGGGGTAGAGGAGGCAAGATACCCACCCTAAGGTTGACATAATTTTCATATTGTTCATATCTGTATACGGCCAACTACAACAACTCAGCGACTAAATGCAATTGACTCAGAGAATTTTCTTTCCAAACGAAATTTATTCATATTTCGAGTCGCTGAGTTGTTTGTCGCACCTACACATTCATACAATACAATGTATTCAATTTTGGAGTTATTTCGGTAGGGTTTCTGAAAAGTTGTAACAAGCATGTTATCGATTATTGCTTATTCTTATTTCAAAGAGTGGATTTGTTTTTTCGGTTTTTCCGCTTTTTTATAGATCGAAATTCTATCCGCTAGACTATGAATATAGCGACTATAGTCTACCCCTATTTTCTTATTGTATTCTATTCGGGACTATTCGCATTTCATGTGAATAGTTTTTGAGACGTTTTAGACCCCTCTATGGTGGTCTATCGACGCCCCTTCTTTAATTCATGTTTCCTAGTATTTTTTATATGGTGAGAGTTCTCGTAATTGCATGAACATTACGTTTAAATTTAAATTTTAAATTAAGCAAAACAAAGTATAATTTGTAACATGCGTAAGAATATCGTACCTCTCACAAAATCTAGAAGTAACGTTATGTTTCCGTCAGCTGCAAGAACTGGAAACAACTTACATGAAAGTAAACCGATGCGTTCTGGGAGAACGACAAAACAAATTTATTCATAATTCATTTACGTAATCAAATAGCGTCATTACACAGAGCCAACCACTATCGCCTAGTAACATCAACCATCAATCGGCCGTTAACTTCAAATCGTTACTGCACCACGTTTTCCCCGATCCCAACCCCAATCCGATTCTTACCTTGATTCTTGAAGAACAAATCCAGTGCAACAGCGTTCCGGTACACCTCATCCTTGGTGTAGAAGGTATTGAATGACATCGTTTCCACTTCCAGCACACTATATTCACTGTCCAACTGTTGGAGCAAATCTGCCAACTGGCGCACGTTCGCCTTCAGCAGGCAGTACACTCTCCAGTTGGCCTCAATCAGCCGTCCCTCGCCGTCTTCTTCACCACCACCGCTGTAGTTTTCGATTGTTTTGCCCAAATGTTCCCGAATAAAGTCCCTCAAACTATGGTCACTGGTTTCCGCGGCGATTTGGTAGAGCACATACTTGGGAACGCGATCAATGTTGGTCAGGATATGTTCCGCCTTGAAGAGCTGACGATTCGAGAGCAACCGATAGACGTACGCGTTAACCTGCGTGTGAAAACGAGCAAGTACAAACGATGAATGAGTCGTGAGCCTAACGAGGATCGTCGTTTGGTGCACTGGGGTAAGTCAAAGCAGGAAGCATTTCATCGAATCGATCTTCGTTTACAAACACAGAGACAGCGAGAACAAAATGAGAGACTCGAAGGGAGATTCGATTCAACAAAGATCGGTTACTGGTTGCTGATAACGAGCAGTTCGAAATGGCGAGTACGAGGAGAGTGAAATTATGTCTGGACGGGCAATTAATTAGCTGATAATTTTCTCAAATTTATTGAGGTAATTTGTATAGACAACCGTAAAATTATGGGTTCAATGTTCTGAGCGCATCAATGGAGAAGCTTCTCTATCAGGATTTTGTAAATTTCTAGGTATGCTTATAAAGGAAAAAAACAAAATGTTGTCCCGCTGGCCTATTCTTAGGATGCAACTGACCCAATCAAGTAGAGTCTTATCGCTATTCAAGCTACTGGCACTTTCTCGTTTCAACTGGTAGTGCTATTTGCGTTTGATAATCGCTACGGTTTATGAGATCGTCGTCACAGAACGATTGATCCGATCGTCTTTACTCTAAATATGCCGAGTGCGAGACTAGAGCATCAACTCATGTCTGTTTACTGTCGGCTGGTGCCAGTGCGTCGGGGTACTCGTTCACCTTTAGCGGGGTGTTTTGTTACACCGAGCTGAACCGATTTGTACTAAGCTTTCTAGAAAAGCTGAGATTGCCTCGGCCCGATGTTTGCTCGAGTGATTCATGTTAAACGTGGCGCCTCGCAAGAGCGAGAGGACGTCGAGCAGATGCTGTTCAGAGCCTATTGTCATCTTGATAAGACCGACGAGACAAGACTAGTGAACTAAAAAGGTCGAGTCTCAGGGCAACACTATTCTTAGGACAGTGTTTTTTTTTTTACTAAACTGCTATACTGCCGTTCTACTCATAACTGTCCCATGTTCTATGCAATCCTTATGCACCGTGGAACTCTTATGCGTATAACGGCAGTATACCCTGCGACGATTCAAATATGACATCCACAAGCTTTTCGATTTTTCTACCCCTCCCCCCCTATGACACGCATTTTCCCATATTTATTACACGTATTGTCACAAATTCTATAAGCCCCTCCTCTCCCCACCCGCTCCTTAAAAGCGGACGTCATATTTGAATCGTCCCTTATGGACTTTGTCAAACGAATATCCTCAAAAAAGCATCTCCTGAATTACAAAACTAAAAAAAACTGACTCGCAACCGAGTGATCTTCAACTCCAACTACTGATCACAACAAACTTTGGAAAACGTCTTACACAGGTAAACATAACGAATCGGAAATCCCGGAACAGGTACTAAGATCGATTCTTCTTTTGTCTTCACGTTTCTGCATCAATAATCCCATCTTACCTTCTGCAGGAAGTAATTCTTCGCCTCATTGTGGGACAGTTCGTTCCTCTCCGCCAGATAGGCTACGCAAAGATTGACGTGTTTACCCTTGGTGGCAACATCTTTGATGATGACGTCATCGTCCAGCTTCTCCCAGGCTTTGATGATGATATCCTTTTCTGGTGGCATTATCCACACTACACAACAGTACTCTCTGTTCAATTTTCACAATTCCGAAACAACCGAAACTGACTCACGTAGCCACTGAAAGTGCACTCAAACCATCATAATATTATTACCGAATGATTCTTCGGACAAAACAAAAGAAACAGACACTAATAATCCATCCGAAAGGGGGTGGAAGAAAGTACACTCTAGTTATGGTTGTTTGTTTGCCAACTCTTATCTACACAATCCGTCAGCAAACAGAAAAACGGCACCCTTTGGTGGATACACAGCAAACAATAAACACTGTTGCGCTGATAAAACTATTGAAATTCACAAGAAAAATGTTTGATAACAAAAAGCGATTTGCCACTGCCTGCGTTTGCCATCGATGACAGTCATATTTTTTCATCAGTATCAGCTGTGAATGAGAGAGGGGACGACGAATCATAACAATCATCATCAAAACAAACCAAACGCCACGTTAGCCCCGTCATCCCATCAGTCTTCTGATGACGGTTGTTTTTCATAAAGGGAGCGTTACCAATCTTTCGGACGTTTTCAAACTGTTTTAAGGTTAAATGAATACATTTAACTTCATCGATGTGTAAAAAAAATTTTTGATGTTAGTAAAAATGGCGGCCGAAAATACCATCCTCTGGTGGTGTCAGCACTGTAGCCTACAGTTTTTATGCTATGTTTATATGTGCATTGTATGCATGCATGCGTTACAAATTTTATGTGAATAATCATTAATGAAACTTGAATTTTTCATGATTACCCAGCAAAAAAAATGTAATATCGATCAACGTAATTCAAGCTGATGTATGAAATAATGATGTAACAGCAAAAAGCAGATACAATATTACATCAATGGATATAATTTTGTTCGCAAAATCGATGTACATCGTACCTTGAGATATTACACAACCGATGGATTGACCTGGTTGCAGCAGTTTCGATGTAATATTCAACACCTTTTTTTGCTGTGTAGCTTGCCTAATTTAAAAAATAATATAATAAATATTCAATTCCTACATGTAAGCGCTTCCCTAATAAAAATAACCAATTGAAAGAGCTTAACGACGTGTTCGGAATATCATCCAAACTATTTGTGGGATAGTTCGACCGTACGGGCTACCGTTCGTTTATGGTATTTGTTTATTAGGGTTGTTGAACCTCGTGTTGAAAATTTATCACGATTATTTTGCCGCGCAACCAATCAAACATCAGGGTCGAATTTTATGAGGATATATACCCACCATGGTTTTAACTGCTCAGCCTGGACAACGGTTTAGCGTGTATAGGTATTTTGCTATTAAAGAATCAAAGTGACGATTGACTCACAGATGGCGAGTGGGTGAAAATGGTAATGACGTTTTGATATCTGAGCGGTTCCATATCATTAAAGCAACGAGTAATTTTCATCTTTTTTGATTTGCATGAAACCTTGCATACAAGTTTTTGGGGAAGAAAAACGATGTTTTGCATACTTGGTTCGCCATTTTGAATCTAGCCTTACTTATGAGAAGGGCCTATGAAAAATGCACATAATATCTTCAAAAAATTGTATCTCGGAAACGGTTTGTCCGATTGGTTTGGTGTCTTAGGCGAAGTTTTAGACAATTGTTGGTGTTATATGGAAAAAATATGCACGGTAAAAAAAAAAGTTTGGTATTTGTGTTTTGAACTAAAATATAAATTTTCCCTTTAAAGTGACATGTCAATAATTTTTTTATTATCCTTATGTTATAGCTGACTGAAAATGCTATCTAGTGCACAGTAGGTTGTTCTGGAGAAAAATAGGTTACGATGAAAAAAAATGTTTTTTAAAAAAATACAATTTTCAAAAAAGCTATTAAAAAAATCAAAAAAGTTTGTCACCCTAATTTTATGAAAGTACATCAAATTTGCAAACAAAAAGTACTTCGGTAACATTTTTCTAAGATGCACCGTTTAGAAGATATTACTGATTTAATATTGTTTTTTTTTGATAACTTAATAAGTTTTGGGCCTTTTCGGATGTATTCCGTATTTTTCCAGTTTCAAAAGTATTTTTTTCGGAAAGATTGGAAAATTTTGAGTTAAAATGACACTGACAGCTTAAAGATTCGAGTGAAATTCTCTGCCTTAAAAGTATTTTGAAAAACAAGTTTCAAAATCCCACTATCAGGAACAATGATTTCTTCAAGTGATTTTTGGTGCGTTGTGCTGAAAATGTGCATTCAACTCTTGCATATCGCCTAACAGTTTAATCCATTTAAACTGGATGTGTTTATACTGTGCATATTTTCTCTCTATTGCCGAACATCGCCACAGACATCAAACCGATGAGACAACTCGATTTCGAGATACACCTTTTTGAGAACTGCAAATGTAAGCTCCTCAATTAGCAAGATTCAAAAGAGCGAATTAAGCTTATTTTCCAGGGATGGTGATTGTGCGCAATAAAAAATAACATTATATGTTGGATATCATCAGTGTATTTTTATTCCTGTATTTTTATAAAATTATTGTTTACACAACTTTCTTAACAATATTGAGATGAATCAAATACATTATCTCTTTCCTTTCTTGCATCTGATGCCATATTTCTACTGGTTTTAAATTCGTCTACAATTTTTTGTACTGACCATGATTTTGGCAACAATGATAAAATTGATAGTTTTTCTTGCCTTGTGGCTGAATTTAAAAATTTAATTTTCATATTTTCTATGACTTCATCAAACTCGTTTGCTTTTTCTGTTTTAGCGTCTAATTTAAAAAGATTTCTTCGTACACCTTCGACGATTTCAGCGCACTTTTTTCAGGATAGCGAACATTTTTAACCTTACCTAAATCTATAGGCGAAACACGAATAGCTGCTATTCCTCGGTTGAATATTTCTACGTCTACAGGCATCGTGAAGTCTTCATTTGATTTAATTGTGCTTAGCGTTGACTCTGATGGTATCGTGACCAAACTTTCAACAGTTGGCATCCTTGAGCCGCCGGCTACGCTTTGTTCCTCGTTTTGGGTAAGGTGAGCTCTTGAATCAATATGTAGACGGCAAGACGAACAAACACGAAAATCCTTGGTGTTCAGTGTGGATACCTTGGAAAATCCAATTGATTTTAGTTTTTGGATGATACCATCCGTGAGATATCGCAGCTCTTTCGAACACTGAATGTCTTTGAATGGGCGAATACATCTTATTTTACTCATTTTGTAATCTGTAACATAGAAAATATTTTCCAATTGTTAGTTTTGTACGAAAATATCACAAAACATATAATTAAAATGTGTATTTAAAACTTACCTTTGCACCAAAACGTGTTACACTTTCCTTTACAATTATTATGTTATCAAACAACACTGGATCTCGTTCAAAAACACAGGATTATGAGCTGAAATTACTATAATCACTATGCTACTAGCAACCTTTCTGCATTTACTGTTTGGTTTTCCCTAGTAGATACTGGATGAATTCAGAACCGAGTCAGACATTATTATACAGCTCGCGGGTAGAAATCATAGAATGCTGGGTAAAGACTGTTGGAAGATAGGTAGAGTTGAACGCTCAGGTATAGTCGAACCTTCAGGTACGAGTTTGGAGAGTTGGAGCGAGGTAGATTTGCTGGCGTAGGTATATTGTTATTGAAGAAGATTGTAAATTGTATATACCTGGAATGAATAAAGAGTGCGGCGGTTGTTGATTGAGGTATCAGTCGGCAGCCCTCTAGTTTGATGGAAGGTGACTACTATTAAATCAGTAATATCTTCTAAACGGTGCATCTTAGAAAAATGTTACCGAAGTACTTTTTGTTTGCAAATTTGATGTACTTTCATAAAATTAGGGTGACAAACTTTTTTGATTTTTTTAATAGCTTTTTTGAAAATTGTATTTTTTTAAAAAACATTTTTTTTCATCGTAACCTATTTTTCTCCAGAACAACCTACTGTGCACTAGATAGCATTTTCAGTCAGCTATAACATAAGGATAATAAAAAAATTATTGACATGTCACTTTAAAGGGAAAATTTATATTTTAGTTCAAAACACAAATACCAAACTTTTTTTTTACCGTGCATATTTTTTCCATATAACACCAACAATTGTCTAAAACTTTGCCTAAGACACCAAACCAATCGGACAAACCGTTTCCGAGATACAATTTTTTGAAGATATCAAGTGCATTTTTCATAGGCCCTTCTCATAAGTAAGGCTAGATTCAAAATGGCGAACCAAGTATGCAAAACGGCGTTTTTCTTCCCCAAAAACTTGTATGCAAGGTTTCATGCAAATCAAAAAATACAAAAAATAAAAACTGGAAAAATTTCCCACTTGTTCGTGGAACCGCTCATCTGTCAAATTGCATGATTTTTTTTTTTAGTAAATCATCATTTTTTTTTAATGCGAATCTAAAAACTAGGTGTTGCATGGCCAGTTTTGGCTTTGCTCAAGGTTTTGATTCGCCAATAGGCTATGTTCTATTTGCACGGATAGAAACCTTTTGGCAAATTTCTATTGCTGATTATTCATAAAATGTATAAGTCAACTAATAAGCAGACGCCTTGCGAAAAGTTAATGAAGATTATGTGTCAAATGAAATGTATAAGTGGTTACACATACCTTTTATGCATTCTTAGTGGACCTATGTGGTTTGTCTTATGGAATGTATAAGGCTGATTTTTTGGCAAAAATGTATAAGTGAAACACATGAATAACATAATTGATTTTCGTTTCGTGTGGGGAATTTTCACTTAATTTTGACAGATGTAAAATTTTCAAATAAACCTGGTATTGTACCACTTTTGACAAAAACCTTCTCGATAATCACACGATCAACAGCAGAAGGTTTTTCAAACATTATACATAATTTATTTTCGAAGCTTCAAATTTGAGTGAAAATTCTACAACCCTAATTCTTAGGTAGAATCAAAACCTAATTTTAGGTAATCTTATCTTAGAGTGATAACAACGTTGGAGAGAAAGCTTTATTGTGTTACATTAGATTACATGTATGAGAATGAGATTCAGATTTTATAAGTGCAAATAAAACTATTGATTGATTGGGTAATGCAATCTGAAGATAAATAAGGAAAGAATATTGTTTTGACAATATTCACTAACATTAAATACTCGGTTTTAGGTACTTTTCACCCAACATTCACTTTTTACGAAATAGTTACATTTCACCTAAAACGAAGTCTTAGCAAAAAACTCAAAATTGGATACTTCGCAAAAACCTCAATTTTGAGTGGTTGCACTTCAATGAGGTACAGAGAGAGGTGGGCAGATCGTGAAATAGGGTTGTATTAGTAAACCAAAAAATCAACGTAAACGCAAGTAGTGACGTCACTACTTGCGTGTACTTGCGTGTATCGTACAGTGGTTGTGTGAGTGATTGCTTCACCTTGGTAATCCAGCTCATTGGTTGCACTTAGCTGTCAAGATGAGTACAAAATTTGATGATCATTTAATGACTTAATTTTGAGTTGTTTCGTCTTTCCGTGAGTGCAAGTGAAGCTCGCCGATGAGAGTAAACAAACCTTACGGTCAGTAATGTCATCAATTTATTATCAAGCACAACATTTTTGTATAAACGTTACCGGCGCGCATTCTGGACGGATTTGGTTATAGTCCCAGTTTCTTCCTTTGAATATTTCACCGCAGACAAGCAAGTTTCGAGGATCGATGGAGCCTTCCTCGACGATTATGGAACCCGTGGTAATGCACAGTTCCAAAGTCGGTCCACCCGGCAAACAGGGCCGTCACCGAAAAAAGCAAAAATACAACGCCATCCGCTCGCAGATGGAGTTTTACTTCTCGAATGCCAATCTCACCAAGGATCGGTACCTCGGCCAACGGATTAAGAGTGACCCATGTGAGTAAATCTTGTTTTTTGGAGACTTTTGAATGTAATAAAGTGTTTGTTTTTTTTTTAAACTATTTAGTCATTCCGTTGGAGGAATTCCTCAAATTCAATCGAATCAAGCAGCTCACGGATAACATTGAGGACATTGCTACAGCGCTGAAGAACTCGGAACTGTTGCAGCTTTCCGATGATCGCAGTAAGGTACGCCGTACAACGGAGCCAACCGAGCGGCCGAACTGTGAACAGTGCACCATCTACGTGGAATCGCTTCCGCCGAAAGCAGATCACGATTGGGTGCGGAATGTATTTTCTGCCTACGGGAAGGTTGCTTACGTTTCGTTACCGAAATTTAAGTACTCGAAAAAGATTAAGGAATTTGGATTTGTAGAGTTCGAGGAAGAATCGAGTGTGCAGAAAGCGTTGAAAACGTTTCAAGCGTTCGGCGGAGTGCTGACGTATGAAGAAACGGATCCGGGTAAGTTGGTCAGTATTACCAGCTTCGGTAAGGAAAAGGAAGAAGAAGAAGATACCAAAACAAAAGGTGTCGCTGAAAAGGATGTAGGCGATAAAGACGAGAAGGTAGCGGATAAGGGCGATAAAGATGAGGACGAAGAGGAACCTCCACCAGCAAAGCGTATTCGAACGGATAATGGGGATAGTTCCGAAGCGGAAGGGGATAGAGACAGTGCGAATGATGGATCAGCCAGCGAGAATGAAGTGGAGGAAGCTACGGAAGTGGACGGTGGTGCGAAGCGTGAAGTGAGTGACGTCAAAAAGAAAAAGCGTCACCGGAAGGGAACTAGTGGAGTGAAGAAAGAGATTCAGCAGGACGATAAGGTGTATGAACTGAAAGTGATGCCCAAGTTAGTTTGTAGTTAGTAAAATTTCGTAAAGTTTTTATATTTAACAATATTATTTTATTTATCAGGAAAGAATGGCGAAGACTTCGCAACAAATATCTGAATCTTCAGAGAACGGAAGCAAAGAAATTGAAGAAACTATTCAGCGATTCCAACAAGTTCAGCAAATCCAGCCAGAGCAGAACAACGAACCCTTCGACAACGGCTGCAAAAACGGTAAAGTCTTCACCTCGGGTTAACTTTTACGGTGCACTTACGGATGAAGAAGCGGCTGCAGAAGCTACCAAGCTGGAAGAACAGGAACAGCCAATCAAGCAGCCATTGTTCTCGTTTGAACCAGGTTTAATTGTGAATATTAAGTTCCGCGTTCCATGTGCAAATGTGAAGGATTTCAAAGTCGAATTGAAGCAGTTTTCCTACGTGAAATACATTGACCTGAAGGAAGCTGATATGGAAACGTTTGTACGGGTAGACAAACCTAGCTCGGCCAATCAGTTGGTCAAGGAGTACAATTCGGCCGAGTATAGTGCCCAGATTTTAAGCGGCGAAACGGAGAAAAGTTACTGGGACAAAATTAAGCAGGATCGAGAGGACAAGCTGAACAAAAAGATCAAAGTGGAGAAGGTGCGCGGGCGGACCAAGCTGATGAAAAAGGTAAATACCCACATCAAGTTTGACGAGGATGATTGATCTGGATTTTTTGGACGCAAATGAAGCTGACCTATGACTTTGATGTGGTTTCATTTTTTTTAAAGAAAGTATGAGAATTTATTACTTTATTTGGTGTCAATGTATTTATACTCTGAGAGAGTGTTGTAGTTGTATTCTGTTCGTTTCTTTCCTCCTTCACTGAATGTTCTTACATTACATCGCAAACTATCAACTGACTTTTCTACTCAGAGTTATGGATAAATTTCTAAAAACTGCAGGAACTCACCGCTGAGTACCTGTACTTTTTAGAAATTTCTTATATAACTGGAGTAGAAGTAAGTCCCTCTTTGAGTTATTCCTCAGTAGCCGTATAGCGGTCCTCCAAATGTACCTACGTTGCTATTCGAACCAAGAAATGCATTTACTACAGTTAATTCGTACTCCTGCTAGTTTCACTGCCTTCGCTACCGATTTCCGACTCTGTATGTTTGATCTGATAGTGTACACGAATTTCACGTTCCGAGCGAAACTTTTCAAAGCACACCTTACAGTGGAATGAATGTTTACCCAGCAGAAAGGGATTAATGATATCATTCAAGTTTCGATGATAAGCTTGATGTCTAATCAGTACGCTAACTGCAGAGAACGATTCATCACAAATGTTGCAAATGTTAAGATCATGGATAGCGTTAAGATGAAAGTAGAAAGCTTTCTTGTCAGAGAATTCCACGTTGCATTCTTTACACTTGGTATCGTTACCGTCTATCATAAATCGCTTTCGCTTGCCCCGATTTCGATCAATTCTCTTTTGTTTTGTATCCTTGGTGATAATAGACTTATGATCGGATCTGTGCTGGATTAGATTGTCTATATTATCAAAACTTTCACTGCAGTTCACACACTTGAAACAGGGCCTCTTGTCAGAGGAGCTGCCCTTGATGGCAGAGTTGCTGTTAATTACATGTTTGCCGTTCGTTATAGTTTCTTTTATTTTCTCACTCGTTCGTTTGGTCGCTGAATGCGTTTCTCTGCGACTTATCAAAGGATCGCTACAATCGGAGGCATGTTTACCTTCTGTCGATAACCCCGTTACGCTTGAACTCGGATGGATTTCCAGATGGTGCCTTATACACGCTGAAATCTCATCAAATACCAATTCTGTACATTCCTTACATTTGTACCGTCCATCGCCAAGCTGTTGAAATGGTAGTACGATTGTTTTATCATCAACCCGCACTGTTCCAGCAGCACTTCTCCAGTTTTTAATCGCTAAGTTAACCGCCAGACAGGTTTCCCTATATTCTAACAATCCATCATCTTCCCATTCATTCAGCAATCCGTCGTCGTTACATTCGAATAGCTCCTCCAATTTCTGCACACATATCGTGCATACAGCACAAGGGAAATCATCTGGCTCAGTTAATTGAATGTCCAATTGCTTCCAAATGAGCTGCACTAGACCCAGTGGTTCCGAACCACTGACAAGTAGCCTCATTTCCGCTTTCGAGAGGCATAGTCGACAGTAGGTGGTTGGATCATCGCTGGGACTAAGGTGGAAGAATTATTGAACAATCATCATCCTATACCTTTCGTTTGTTAGTGGCTTAAGAACTTACGGATCAAGGTTTACTCCTTCGAACGAATACATAAACGCACGTTGGTGAAGAAGAATATCGTTGGGTTTATTTGACCCGAGGGTTGTTTACGGCTCCGGAATATGCAATAGTCCAATCCTGCCAGGTGGACACTAAATTTAATATGTATAGTGTTCAAAAAACAGAACTGGGGAAAGGGCCTTGCATATAGCTTTCGTAGTGACAGATCTTTTCTGAAGTATAAACAAACATTGAAGCAGCATAAATCTGGAGTCTTTTTTGGTTGGGTCGTATCTAACGTTTTTGTAAATAAGGTGATCCAAGAGACGTTTCTCAGTGGAACTGACAGCTAGAAATCTAGTGATCTGGTGTTTATGGTGCTGAATGTAAACATAAACAAAGCAGAAATTCATACAAATTGTTTTTTTTTTATTAGCATGAAACAGAAATGAAGTAGCGAGCCCAAATGTTACCTTTAGGAAGAGTAAGAGCAGAGTACCCTAATAAACGGGTACCATAAACTAACGATATCATAGATGGTAGGAACATACCACATAAAGTTCGGATGATATCCCGAATTGGTAGTTAGACACATCTTATGGTTATTGTTTATGTGGGTAGTATGGTATAGAGTCGGTGTATAATGAGTCACGCCAAGAGTGAAGCCAAGTCTACCTATTGAACTGTCAAACCGGCTACCTATCGTGCAAAGTAAATAAACATTACGATGCTATGAAAGGTCCACGAAAGGTATTGCAATAAAATATAAAATATATAAATTATATAATCGAAGAAATGAGCATAAACACACAGTGAGCATTAAATTGTCATGGGATACGCTCGGTAATGATTAGTAATGAGAATTTCTACTATTTTTTGTTAAGATAATTTGACAAAATCACTGATATAATGATTTACTACCGTCGCAATATTTTTTCTCTCGCTAGAAGTCATTTGAAGTTGATGTAGAAGTCCTCTGTTGCCAAGTGAAAAGAAAGGGAATCCTTCGAAAACCGTGATGCGAGTTCAACTGTTTTTCTCTTGACGTGACTCATTATACACCGACTCTAGTATGGTATAGCATTAAAATGTCAATTTGTTTACGTTTGTTTTATACGACCTATTCAAAAACTACTCCAGAAATATGGACCAACAGGTCTGTGCCATAAAAAAAAGGAAGAAACATTGAAGCAGTTGTGCGCGAGGTAAGCCCCGAAAGTTTAAATCGACAGTGAGCATGCATAAAGGCGTAAACGCGATGATCGATTCTCTTCACGCTTATTCTGGTCAACTCAAAATTGAGTCGAATGTACTCATCTCAGCGGCAAGTAGGGCTACTCAAAATTGAGTAGCCTTATGTTGACTCACTTTTGAGCAAACGACGTTCTTACGTAGACTGAGTCAAATCCACTCGCCGGTATTTTCAGTTGCGGGGAGGGTTTTTGTTTTGATTTTTATTCAAGGAAATGCAAATTGCCTGCTCCGGATTCATTCTACCGGAGCAGAAAATGGTTCAACACTGTTTCCTTAAGCAATTCGTACTTACCTGAAGGCATTTAAGCCGGTTTTGAGTAACATTTTCTATGAGGTTTCCTCCGACATGACTGGATTTTCTTCCAAGTCAAGGATTTTGCTGACTGAGTGGCTTTTACCATACACGAAACGAAAATCAATTCAGTGCCAACATTTCAAAGGGGCGTAATTGCTTTTGTAAACAAAGGCTTTAGCCGTCGATTCCTCGCAAATAAAAGCTCACTCCTCCAAATTAACAATGCTAGCTGGAAGAGGAAACATTTATCTACCTGTTGGTGCAATCAATTTTCATGAGCGAGCTTTTATTTGCGAGAAATCAACGGCTAAAGCCATTGTTTACAAATGCAATTACGCCCCTTTGAAATGTTGGCACTGAATTATTTTATTCATGTGTTTCACTTATACATTTTTGCCAAACATCAGCCTTATACATTCCATAAGACAAACCACATAGATCCTATAAGAATGCATAAAAGGTATGTGTGACCGCTTATACATTTCACTTGACACATGATCTTCATTAACTTTTGGCAAGGCGTCTGCTTATTAGTTGACTTATACATTTTATGAATAATCAGTAATAGAATTTTGCCAAAAGGTATAAGGAGATTTCTATCCGTGTAGAGGTAACTCTAAGACTAGAAGGTCCCGAAGAAACGTGCTCAACTTTTTGGCTCAGCTCTGGTAATCGCTTCGGTCCCAAGCTAATCGATTCACCCCTCGAAACATAGAAAAATCCACTAGCCCCTCATTTTATCTGTCAAACTTTCATAGCGAATCAAAACAAACATTGTGTAGTACTAGAATGGGGTACGTTAATCGTTTGCTTGGGACCAATAGGCTAGTCAAGTAGTGAGCCAATTTAAAATCGTTAGTTTTGTATTGATTGTTGTTATAACTCATCTCCAGTTTGTATAGCGTTTAACCAACAATCAATACGAAACTAACGATTTTAAATTGGCTCACCACTTTAGTAGCCTATTGGTCCCAAGCAAACGATTAACGTACCCTATTCTAGTTGAAATTCTATTACTACACTATGTTTGTTTTGATTCGCTATGAAAGTTTGACAGATAACATCAGGGGTGTGTGGATTCATGCAGAACATGCAGGGGTGAGTGAAATAGCTTGGGACTGCTTGGGACCGTTGTTCTGGTACTGAGTGAGCCAAAAATAATAATGATTTTCTTCGGGACCCAGTGGTCTTAGAGTTACCTCTATGGTTTAACGTTGTTCCCTGAGTAATACCAACAATCAATACGAAACTAACGTTTTTAAATTGGCTCACCACTTTAGTAGCCTATTGGTCCCAAGCAAACGATTAACGTACCCTATTCTAGTCGAAATTCTAGTACTACGCAATGTTTGTTTTGATTCGCTATGAAAGTTTGACAGATAAAATGAGGGGTTATTGGTTTTTCCTATGTTTCGAGGGGTGAATCGTTTAGCTTGGGACCGAAGAGAGTACCAGAGCTGAGCCAAAAAGTTGAGCACGTTATTTCGGGACCTTCTAGTCTTAGAGTTACCTCTATGGTAATACTTCAATGAAAACAACAATGAAAGCTTGTCACTTAAATAGAAGGAGCACTGTTGAGCACTTTCTGAAATATTTCAATAGTATAATTCCCTTGCAAACCCAAATAAATCTATCTATTCTGGAGATGATGTCATAGTAGTGGATTCTGAAAGTGAGTCTGCAGTCCAAGGTAACGCTGAGATCCTTTATGTGCTCTACACGAGCAAGACAGCGTCCGTAAAGAACATAGTCAAACATGATTGGTTCGATTTTTCGGTGATAGGAAATAATGTTACATTTTTCTATGCTTAGACTCATCAAATTTCTTGAGCACCAGTCATCAAAAATACCTAACATATTCGGAAGATCCCAGCAGTCCGAGAGACTTTTAATGATTTTGTAGATTTTCGTATCGTCTGCATAGAAAACGTGGCATCCTGATGGTATCAGCAAGGCGACGTCGTTTAAAAAGATCGAAAATAGTAGCGGTCCTAGGTTACTACCTGGTGGAACTCCCGATTTGTTTGAGAAAACATCCGATTCCGACGCGCCAATCTTGACATGTACAGAGCGATTCACCAAGTAAGATCTGGACCAATCCACAGCAGTTGACGAGATGCCAAGTATCTCCAGCTTGGCCAGCAAGATATTATGGTCCACCGTGTCAAATGCAGCTTTTAGATCCATATACGCAGCATCGACTCAGTGATCATTATTAGGTGTGTGCTGCAATGGAGTAGTAATTGAAGGAAATGAGGTTCTCATGTGGCTTATAGGTAATTCTAAAATAGGTAAATCATGCAAGCACACACCTTTTACAATTCTTATCCTACTTACCAGTTCCGTCCAGTATAAATTGGCTGTTTCCAAATGGTCTAATCCTTTCTGACTGCTTACTCTCTTACGTTTTCTCGCTTTTTTCCTTCTTCCTATTGAAAATCTGGCCGTGTTCCCATTTGTTCACAGGTACACTGAACCAAAACATCATCCTTTGATCGAATGATTATTGCTTCACCCAAGCCCTATTACTATTATCAGATGATTTTGAGATGATTGTCATTCAGTTCATCAACTGTTAAAACCACAACAACTTGGATGCTTATCATTCTAATCTAGAATGTTTTTAGTTCAATTCTTGAGAGCATAGGTGGACGTAAATCAAATGAAAATAATAAGTTAATTAAAAACTTTTCTTATTTATATTGAGAGATAGTTGAAGTAATATTGTCTATTGAAAATAGGTAATACTTTAATTATTACAATGCTTTATTTTTATATAATTATAAGAAGAGTCGATCTTACAGTCCGTGCACCGTGCACCTCCCATTGGATGAGATTCCTATTCGCTATCGGCATCAATCCAGTTGCACCCTCCGCTCCACTCCCGCAGGTCGTGATCCCCGTCGTTATCGTTGATCCTGATTACCGAACACTCATCCCGTCTGCAGTGCCTCTAGGAAACTGTCTATGACACGTTCCCGCGTCCGAACGGCATCGTTGTACACCAACTTTCGTTGTTACCGTTCCTGCATCTCCTGCTGGGAGCGTTCTTCGGCCTCCAGTGTTCGGCGTCTTTACGAAAGCGGTTCAGAGAACTTCTTTCTGTGCACAATTATGTGACGAACAATCACCTGCCTGCATTGTGATGTTATTATCGTAAATTGAAACCATATTAATTAATTTCATATAAACCAAAGTATAAACTAATCTAGAACTTACCCATCGTTGAAGATAACAGCCTACAAAAACTCAAAATTCAATTTGAAAAATTAAAGTAACGTCCTTTTCAACATGTCTGTCAGATACGTCGCTGTCGATTTTTTGCATTTTCAATCGATTTTCAATCACATTTTTCATACAGCAACAGTTCATGAGGAAAATGAATGATTTTCGTTATGGGCCTCCGATGATACATTTATCTCTCAGATTTAAGATTATGTTCGTTTGGTTTGGTACATTCCGGCAACAATATTTAATTCATACAAGTTTCACATCCATTATCATCTACTTTAAAAATGATTTCCACTTTATGCTAGGCATCCTTTTCACTTGGTGCAGGTTTCATTCGAAAACAAGAAATTGGCATTTGTTAACGCACCGTATGACGAATCATCCGATATATGGCAGGTCTTTTCTTACAGTGTAGGTAATATTGGTACATGAGGGGAAGAAAGAAATAGAGCAAGTTAAGTGTGAGCCGCATGCGTTGGTTAGTCATTTGGGTCATGGTGTTGTGTTCCCTATTTTATTTGTCTCTATTCAGCTCTCAGATCGCCCCCTCCCCTCAAACTATTGTGGATGAGAAAAAGAACCCATATTTGGTAACCTCTCGCGAGCTGCAATGCATAAGATATGAATACCAAACAAATCTATGAGTTATTTCAAAATGGGCATCCATACTCAGAAACTATACCCGACCTCAACAAACTGTACCGAAATCAGAACAGCTAAACTACTCGGTAAGATTTTGGAATTTCTATTTAATTGTATTAAGTTATCTCACAGAGACCAGACATCCAAGTTCGGTCAGAAACTTGTGTAAAGTTAAGTGGAAACGTTGCCGTTACGTAGCGCTAGTATCTCCTGATTTCCTCTATAAATTTATCACTTTCGACCAATTTGGCGCTAGTATCGATAAAGTATCTGCTGAAAATTGCCACTTGGCGCTACCAGCACTTAGTATCTAGTGTAAGTTTTGCAACGCCAGCGCCATCATGTTGTCAAAGAGGGTTTTTAAGTGGGGAAGTCGCCGTTAGTGGCGCTTAAGTCGAATAGGAATCTTTACACAAGTTTTTAGAGAAATTTTGAAACCTCAACGTTTGTTCTCTGTGGCTTTCTTATATCGAGTTCTTTTCAATAATTGCAACATGTGAATAATGCAGAACAAGTTTAACATTGTTCTAGAGCCAAATTGGTTTCAAAGGAAGGTCAAACTACAAACGAACAGCTCAGCCGCTCTGAACCCTATGAAAATTATGCTTTCCCAATATGTCATTTCTAGCCTATCTGAACTATTTAATAAATGGAAACCATAACATGGGTTACGCTCCTCCTAAGCGGGCCCTCCGCATCCTATCTCTGTCTTATCTCAAATGCCAATGGTTTGAATGTATCAATATGTACATTGGAAATGACATTCAATCAAATAAACTCATACCCCACTCACTTGGCCCGGCTTCAGAATCGTCCAGTGGGCAGCGCGCTCTACACTCCAAGTTTCCTTTCTTTCAAATTTACCCCAAATTTTATATTTTACCCCTTTGAGTGTTGATTATTCACAATGAAACATTGTGACAGAGCACGGACTTGAGGTTACTAGAGTATTAAATAATCTAGGTCCTATTTAGGATTATATCTGAAAAATCCAAATTTGGTCAACGCCCACCAAGCACATATAAGATTAGTTTCAATACCATGTACACACATGGTGTTTAACGTTGTTCCCTGAATAATACTTCAATGAAAGCAACAATGAAACCTTGTCACTCAAATAGAAGGAGCACTGTTGAGCACTTTCTGAAATATGTCAATAGTATAATTCCCTTGCAAACCCAAATAAATCTATCTGCGTATAAAACGGTGTTTTTATGTCACGGCTATAACTCGAGAACCGATTGACGGAATTGCAAGATTTTTTTTTCAACAATCAACAATCAACTATATAGGCAGGGCAGTACGTCCTTTGCTGGTTCAGCTATTTTAAAATTAAAATAAATTCTAGGTTAAAAAATTGAAACATTTAAAAAATCTCTCCCATACCTCACCGTGATGAAATTAAGGCTGCACTTTTTTATTCGTCAATGCATTCGTGCTTCCAGCTAATGTCTTGTTTCTATAGTTAAATGGATCTCTAATATTCTCATAGAAAGATTAGTTTACTTTGTGTGTGTCATCCTGTTTTATTTTCTATTTACCACGTGCTATGTAAATTTACATCTAAATTAATACAATTTTCATCTCTTTCCCCTGTGTATGCAGCGCATCATACTCACACATATAGAGAAACTGCTCGCACCATGTGTTTGTACTTTAGTCAGTCGGTCGAGTTGGTGGAACGAAGCAGGAAACATGGATGCTACCTTTCGTCTGTAAAGTATACTAGGGATTAATGAACTAAATATATCGACATAGTGAGATAAACATGTACCCGAGAGCAGAAAACCTTCGCGCGTCAGTATTCAGAAGTCATGCTGTAATCATCTAAAATATGCTGTTCTTCATTAAATTTAAATGCAGGGCCGGAAGTTCACTTTCTCAACAAAATGCTAGTACACCCGCAATCTGTTCCAGTCATCGAATCCGGCTGAATGACCCGCGTTGCGAACGACAAACGAATTGCCATCAAAGTGCATCCGGCATTCTTCACGGCTGCAAAGTTAGACTCTTGAGATTATAGATGGCGTTCGTTATCCCAAAATCCACTTACCGTACGAACAGATGCGAGGTTTGTCCCATCGATGCCGTGCAGTGGATGTACGGCGTGGTAATCGTAGCGGAACCATTAGTGGGGCTCGTTCGAAGGTTGCAACGGTTGTTCATGCGGGTCACCTTCACCAGGCCATCCATCGTCTGCTGGATGCGGAAACCGTTTACGTGGAAGATTTCAGTACCGTCATCGTTGAGCCAAAAGTTGGCGCTCTGAGCGATCTGATCGGCTTCCTGGTAGAATTGGGATCCGATGCGAGTACCACTAGCAAAAGGGAAGGAAAACTTTATGTTTGGTAGGGATAAACCAATAAATTAATAGAAGTGGCTAGAATGCGGTGGAACATACTGGTGGAAAACCGGGCTGATGTAATCTGTGTTTAAATCGATGTTGATCATATCAGAAGTGGTACGGGTGCCGGCTGCATCGACCAGGTAGATCAGAGCGCACCCTTCACTGGTGAGGCTGATTCCCTTCTGCCACATCTTGGCGTAACGACTGAAAAACGGCAAAAAATATCAATACATTTGTAGAGTCTACACAGCCAATTAGAATGACCCAAATTTGAGTTTAGTTTATCCATAAATCACAAAAATTACAGAAACTCAGCGATGAGTACATTTGCATCATGTTTTTCCAAGTTTGTCCAGGGAGAAAATTAAAGATTGGATTAACTTACTATATTGGTACTACTACTAGACTGAAGGAGTAGAGAGGTGTATTTTCCGGCAGATTTTTGAGGTTTTCCACAGAAAAACACGATACAAATTTACTTATCACTGAGTTCCTGCACTTTTTACGATTATGAGTAAACTGAACTCCAATTTGGGTAGATCTCATTGGACGTAAATGCAAACGTTTAGAAGATCATCGAGAAAATGTGTACTTTTTTTTTACAACATACCAAGCGTCTCCATGAAGTTATATGTATTAAGGTGAACTTCATATCTTAATTATTGTGTTGCTGATCAAACTGAAATCGAAAAGTCAAGACAGGATAGTTACTTACACAAATGAATTCTTCGTAAGACCATCGTACGCCACGATGTCCACCCGGGAGCCATTCTGGAACACGATCCCATTCGGATGATTCAACGCCGTAGATGTTCCCGAGCTGGACAGGGCCATCATAATGCGCTCCTGACTATTGACCAGCTTAATCGAGCGATCCACGGTCATCTCAATGATCACGGCATCGCGCAGGTGCAGCTGAATGATTCCATTTGGCAGTACTACCGGGCCAAACTGACGAATTGGTTCGTTGGCCAGGTGCGGCGTGGAGGAGTACTGGCGCTTAAGCTGGTATTGCCGAAGCTGCTGGTGCTGTTGAAGCTGCTGTTGTTGTTTCTGCTGCTGAAAGTATTGGAATAGCTGGCTCGGTGTGGTCTGTTAGAATTTAACACGAGTTAGAATTTAAAATATTAACATGAAAAACATGGACAAACTTACGCTTCGAACAACGGGAGCCTGCTCCAGTGGGTAGTTGGAGATACTGCTCCAGATGCGACTATTTACCGGTAGCTGGGTTGGACCAATGTATCCAATTTCGGGCATGCTGTCACCGTTGCGAAGGGCTGCCGACGAGTTCGAAGTATGCGATTGGTAAACGAACGGAGTTGCAGTCACGTTAAGCTTGAATTTGGGTTTAGTTTGGTTAGTGGAAACCCAGAGATACCCGTTAAAGCCACTGCTCGAGTAAACATCTTACCTTGGTGAAAGGACTGCGCTGCTGGGTTTGGCGCTGTCTCGACTGGTTAACTGCGAAGGTCGAGCTGGATGAAGATGCCATTTCATTTATGTCGCGAAATTTCAATAAGCTTTCTACAATAAATACTCGATGCGGTTCACGCAGACGGATTTCACGAGGGTTCACTTTTTCCTACATTCAGGGATCAAACTTTCCTCCGAAAAGCGGAAATTCACTGGTAACTTTGGAAGCGTGCAGAAAATTTACAACCTTCTCTGACGACGACGGTTCATGGCACACACATGCGGGAGAAAATGCAAACACCGTTCGTGCTGGTGACCATGGAAACATGACCGGGTAGCGTGCTTGCACGTGGCTATCAAGACGTGAAAAGGCAAATCACCGCTTGCTGTGATTGAGGCGCTTTGAATTCGCGCGGCCATGTGGTTGATTGGCGATTGCCGCGCGCTTTTATTCCTATATGCTATTTAATAAGAACAACCAGAAAGATACTCATCAGCATTCTGCTATCATCTACCTGATCTACCTCCTTACTTTGAAAATTGAAAGAATGTCACAGGCTATTCATAAACTACGTAGCCGACTTAGTAATGGAACAACATCATTTGAATCTATTTCGGATTTGAAAACGGGTGATCTACCTCCTAAGAGCAACCGTACCAATGAGTAAATAAGGCACATTTACCAACCTCTACCATAACGCTACTTGTGTACCGGGGGTTGCTATTCAAGTGGGGGGAAATAGCAATCCGCACCTTGGAAAGTAGTGAGTTCATAAATTTAGCAATCCGGTAGCAAAGCATCAGACGGTTGCTATTTTGAATAAACGTCAAAAGTTTGTTTTGCCGGTGTGGAAAACGGTAACTTAAATTATGACTCTGATAGCAACGACCGGTGAGGAGAGGAGTGATTAAGCCAAAATGGAAACGCTGTGCGTAAATAAAATTGTGCCGCAAATGGCAACGACTGGTACGGTTGCTCTAACTAGGTACTGTGCAACTTATGGTGATTTACGGTAATTTTGAGGAGTAACGCATGGCCCACTTCCCGCATAAACGCGAACCATCACATGACCTTACCGATAATGGTTATAAATTGTTTATAATCCCTGCTAAACTTCAACTGAAATGGTTATGGAACTTTACATGAACGTTTGTGTGATAAAGTTTTAACCTTATGTATTATGGTTTTTTGGAAGCGGACCTTACAAATTATGGGTTGTTAAGAACCATTACCATTCCAAATTCTTGTTTTCTTCATACATTTTCGGAAAGAGAACTATATTAGAACGTTTTGACTTATGGTTTGAGAACATTAATGGTTATGGTTATGGTAGTCAGTAAGGTCCATTAATGGTTTTTTATTATCGCTCAACTTTACGTGAAATATATCGTGAATTGGTAATCAGTAATTTACAGGCAACCAATTCGCGATATATTCCACATAAAGTTGATCGATGTTACAAAACCACTCATGGACCTTACTGGCTACCATAACCATTACCATTAATGTTCTCAAACCATAAGTTAAAAGGTTTTAGTATAGTTTTCTTTCCGAAAATGTATGGAGAAAACAAGAATTTTGAATGGTAATGGTTCTTAACAACCCATTATTTGTAAGGTCCACTTCCAAAAAACTATAATAGGGGAATTTACGTATTCTCGTCAATCTAAGCAGCATCCGGACTTCTATTAGCAATTTCTCAGCGTCACACACATATATGACGGGTTTGTTTATTGACATTTATCTGCTGCTTGCTGTTCTATCAATTCCAATCGACAGAATTGATCAAAACGGGTTGAACACGTTTTTACAACGCTCCAAACTTCTCAGGTGAGTGTGACTATTGTCGGCAGTCTCTTTTTCTTCGGCACCATTTCCATTTGAACTGTGTGTAAACCAGCTGTTCTATTATCGGCAACTCGAAATCAGCCGTATTTTGTAGTGTGTATATTTCATTTAAAGAAAAATCTGGCATAACAGGATTGCTCAGTCGTAAAAATGTAATAAGATTGAAGCTGAAAGGGTAAGGAATCGGTTGAATACATTCAGTGAAGAGTTTTGATGGGAAAATACAGTGAAATTAATGTTTCAATTTTGGTTGCCGAAAACAGTCAATGGGTGCCGAAGCCATAATTTACCCTACTTAAGGTTAAAACTTTATCATTAAACGTTCATGTAAAGTTCCATAACCATTTCAGTTGAAGTTTAGCAGGGATTATAAACAATTTATAACCATTTTAGGTAAGGTCAATTTATGGTTCGCGCTTATGCGGGTTAGTAATGGAACAACATCATTTGGATTTGAAAACGGTTTTCGCTCAAAGGCATACTTGGGGAAATGGATGTAATACCCCGTTCACATTACAGCGTATATCACGTGATATACGCTGTCTTGCAATGAGCACTCATACATCTAGTTTTCACCGGAAATCCTATGTATGAGTGCTCATTGCAAGACAGCCTATATTACGTGATATAGACTGTAATGTGAACGGGGTATAATGTCGGCCTAAATGCCCCTAATTTGGATCCATACATAATTTCAGCAATCGACTAAATTTTCAATAGCGACCAAAAATATCCATTAGTACCGTCTTAACTAGATAAAATTGATAAATAGCACATTTCTAGCGATGAGCCCAATCTTAGATCCATAGGCCAACATTAGAGCCATTTCCCCTATTCCTTATATTTCAAGAAAAAACGAAAGGAATTATTCGTCACGGTTTCGAATGAATTCTCGAACTTTTCCCTTAATACGACCCATCAAGCGGCGCACAACTGTCTCGTCTACTGTTTTGGCGCCAATTATTCAACTGAGCTGCCGTTTTGATAACTGTACCTTTAACCACAGACAAACAGACATAACACTCGAAAATTGTTCATCGAACAAGCATTTAACGGACAATTTAAAAGTATCGTAGTTGGTAGTACCGGCACCTGTGGCGCGCATAGTCAATTCCCTTGCGTTTGACGTTTACACACTACCGCCATTTGTTCAGCGTACTACCCACCACAGTGTACTCAACAGATGGCGGTAATGTTTTAGCGACGATGTTTTACAGTGAGAAATATTCAATGTGTTATGTCTGTTTGTCTGTGCTTTTACCTTCAGTTTCCTCTTCATAATTGCCCAGTAGTTTTCAATGGGCCTGAACTGGGGACAATTGGGCGTATTGAGTTTTTTCGGAACGAACGGACTCCGTTGTCATTATACCATTGCACAGTGGTCCAGAATGCAGATTTAGGTGGAATGATATGTTTTGAGCCTGAAATTGAAACTTTAGACTAAAAGTCTCTTCTACAAAGTTGTTCCTTATAGTTAGGCCCTTATTTTTATGACAATGAATTCTAGGGTGGTTCTTATGATCATTGAAATCAAAAATCTAACTTTTTTGTTTGAATAAATCAGTGCCAACATTTCAAAGGGGCGTAATTGTATTTGTAAACAATGGTTTTAGCCGTCGATTTCTCACGAATAAAAGCTCACCCATGAAAAATAATGACACCAGCAGGTAGAGGAATGTTTCCTTTACCAGCTAGCATTGTTATTTTGGAGAGGTAAGATTTCATTCGCGAGAAATTTACGGGTAAAGTCATTGTTTACAAAAGCAATTACGCCCCTTTGAAATGTTGGCACTGAAATTAAGGTATACATTCTTCAACAAAGTTATAGCTGAGCTAATTTCAAGCAACTTTGTTGGAAACAACTTTTTTGTATCTCTTAAATTGGCCGATTTAGAGTTATTTTCTTGAATTGAGTTAGGGTGGTGCTAAAAAAAACAGTTATTTTGCTCTAGTTTTCTTATTTCAAATTTATCAGCAAAGGTGTCTTCAAATGACTTTTAGATTAGGCGCAAATTTTTACTGCAGGAAGCTTGCCAATATCTTTCGCCGATCAAGAGTTATTGACGTTTGTGTACTACAAATATGAACTTTTCAAATGTTAATATCTCTGGTTGGGGCAAATAAAAAAAGTTTTTTACGGCATTTGAAAGGACCTATGTTATTCTCAATAATATGAAAAAGTCATATGAAAGTCATCTTCTAGAGACCAACACCTAGATTTGTGCCATTAGGTGAGAAAACCACTATCTGAAAATTTTAGCTCATTCGGATTTACATCCGAATGAGCTAAAATTTTCAGATAGTGGTTTTCTCACCACGAGCTGGCGCTTTTGATTTTAAATTTATATGGGGATATTGGTTGAAATGTATAGAGATTAGAGACATAATATTCCTTCACTCTTTCGTGCTGGAATTGGTTCAGAAAACTGATTTAAAGGAGAAAAAATCTATTCAAATCTCTAATAAGGAATTATGATGGCTACTGAGCTTTGGGAATTTTTTCCTTATTAGAGATCTGAATACATTTTCTCCTTTACTTTACTTAAATCTGTGGTTATTATTAGTTAGGTAGGTTTCGATTCTATACGTGTAAGTTTAATTTTTTTTTATACCTGTGATCTTTTTACCTACAAGCTGTATGTATGGAGGAAAATTGTTTCATTTTCACAGGAAATTTTTATAAACAAACTAAAGGCGCTCCTATGGGTAATCCGCTTTCTCCATTTTTATGTGAATTGTTCATGGCTAACCTAGAAAATAATCTGAATGATAGGAATTTGTTGCCCAAATGTTGGTATAGGTGACATTTTTAGCATTGTCAAAAGAGAAGATTTATCAAAAACTTTGGAGGCCATAAGCAACGTTCTCAAGGACATCAAATTTACGAAGAAGATCTTCTGATCATCAGGGAAACGTCTTCGTTCAATTTCGAAATCTATAGGAAACCAACTAATACAAAGAGAGTAATGGTAATACCAACAATCAATACGAAACTGAAAGATTTTAAATTTGCTCACTACTTGACTAGCAAAGCAAATCGAATAACATACCCCATTCTAGCATAAATTCCAGTACTACACTATGTTTGTTTTGATTCGCTATGAAAGTTTGACAGATAAAATTAGGGGTTAATGGACACCCCTATGTTTCGAGGGGTGCATCAATTAGCTTGGGACCGAAGATAGTACCAGAGCTGAGCCAAAAAGTTGAGCTCGTTTCTTCGGGACCTTCTGGTCTTAGAGTTAACTCTATGGTAAAACCAAGCACTTCAAACCATTCCCATCA